CGAGCACAGTGACTGGACGCGAAGTGCATCTCACTGGAAGCTGCTCCCATGTTAAGCCGGGTTTTCCGTCTGGTGCTAAAACGCACCAAACGGGGCGCTTCCTACATGGACAGCACTGGAGCTGGACAGACACAGCCCTGCGGCTGGGGGCGCAGCCGGTGCTGCCCTGGGAGCACGTGGGAAGGACCAGGCTCTGTCACACAGCACCAGGACACCTGACAGCACCCTTCCCCGGGGTTTTGCGCACACACACACACACTCATGCTCACACTCACCTCGCTGAGCGGACACACTCGTGTGCATTGAGGTGGACGTGAGTTACAGCCACATCCCCAGAGGAAAGGGACCCTCCCTGTGATGCAACTCAGAATAGAGGAGCAGAGTCCTCCACCCGCTGACGGTTCCCCTTTTATACGGGGAAGCGTTTGTCCCCAGATCATCCTAAAACAAATAGAGGAAGAGTATTCAACATGATCCACAGGTGGAGAAACCCAGGTACTAAAGGAAACATTCATTTCTCTTTTAGGGGTTGGTTGACTTTATCTGAAGCAGAGCTGGATTATGAATTAGGACTACAAATACAAATATATATATATATATATATACAAATACACACACACACACACACACATCTGCATACAAATACAGATGCACAACAAAAGCACGAGGACATCACATGTCATTCGAACTTCAAAGCCACACCCAAGAACCACTTTGTTACTATCTAAATAGTTAAATTATTAGTTCTGCACTATAATGTTCTCCAGACATCACAGTCAAACCCACCACATTCCACGACTGCATATCTTTCCAGGGAGGTCATCCCTCCCCCGCCTGCTCCGGGCGATGGAGCCACAAACAAGCAGAAAAGACAGATTCCCTGTCTCTGTGAAGCCCTGGGTTCTCCTGGGGCTGGACACGCTTTATTTCCTAACTTGGCTGTCAGTATCCGTCCGGCCTCTCGCATCCTCAATACCTCTGTGTCCACAAATCTCTGTGCCGAGAAAACAAGCCTGAGGTGCAGTCCCTAATCTCATGAATCTGACCCGTCCCCTCTTTGGCAAGGCGAGAATATGTCTTTCATGGGAAAGACCAGGGCCAGGAGAAATCCTGCCAGCACAGGGACCTGCGGGGAAGGCCGGCCCTCCTGCGAGGTCACAGACCTTTCGTTTACCAAGTTGTCCACAGACCATCCTTGTCAGCCTCTTCAGAAACCAGAGACCTGCACCCCTCCTCCACCAGGGCTGACATCTCAGGACCAGCGCCTGCCCTCACCAGCCCAGCGAGCCTGACTATATCAACCCAGGACTGGCATCTTCCACGACAAAACCCACTTGGGTTTGCTTTGCCCAGATGAAACACTTAGGCTGAGATCCTGCCTTGGCTCAGGTTTCTGTCCCCAGGAAGGAGCATCTTGAGTCAGCGACCCAGGCCAGCTTCTCCACATGGCCCCTCTGCCTTGTGGGGCGAGAACCTTCATCTCATCTGAGCAGGGCCCTTGCTGCTAGCCTGTGGGTGGGGACCTGAAGGCCCTTCACTTGTCCCTAACAGCATCCTGGTGTCACCAGGATGAGCCGAGCCCCTCCTGGGAGCAGAGCAAACCTCACACAGGCCTCTAGAGACCTGTATGATGACACACCTCAGACAGGACCCCCAGCGCTGTCCCCTCAGACAGCAGGCATGGGAACATGTTCTGACTCTGACTCCTGTCTGTGTGATGAGCTCCCCTGGACATGCATCCTTAATCCAAATCCAAGGGTTTTTCCAAGAGTAGTGAATGACTGTTAGACATGAACTGTTCAAATACACTTTAGCAGGTGATCTTGTGTTGTAATTACCATCAAAGAAACACCAGAATGTCCTCCACTCCTCACTGCTGTGAACAGACTCTGTGGGGAGCAAAAGGGAGAAATGAGAGCCCCGGGCACCTGCGTTTTCTCAAGTGGGTCGCATCTCTAACAAGAAGTGCCTTCTGCAGGAAGCAGTCGGGCGGGACAAGGCAGGCTGCCGCTCCAGTAAACAGGGCGGATCTGCGTGAGCCCTGGGGACACCAGGCGCGGAAACCTTGCTCTGAGTTGTACCCTCCAGGGTATAGTTTGGGGAGGATTCCCACACATATTCATATGACCCTACAAATTCTGTTCCTTTTAACATAGAGATGCATCTAAATTCCTTTCTCTGGCGTTTAAATTAGTGACTTTGGGGAGGTGAAAAAAAAAAAATAGGACCATTGAAATAAGCCAGGAAGCCTGGCGCCCGCCCTCCCCAGCTCACTCCTCCCCACTCCCGCACCCCCAGATCAGGGAGCTGTGCAGCCAGACATGCACTTCCCTCCTACAAGTCTTGACTTCGCACTGTTATTTTTTCACTTTTTTTTTCTCCCAGCACCTGTTAGAATCAAGGGCAGGGCGGTCTGATTGCAAATTTGTTCCTTCCTTAATCTTTAAGCCAAAGTTGAGGGAGGAAAGTCTGGACGGGACAGAGATGCTTGAAAATACGGTTGAAACTTCATCTTTAAAATGAGCCCCCTTGGTGTCTTTTAAGATTTAATACCCCAGAGACGAAATCAAAGTATTTTTGCTGGTTACTAGACTAGCTCAGAACTTGAACCACAGTACGCAAAGCAGCGTCGTTTCATTAAAAACCCCAGACAGACACCCAGGTGAGTTTTGACAACTTTATGCTGAAGCAACACCGCCGCATAAAAGCAGATAAATACCGACATCGTTGCCTCTAAAGGCCCCTTCACGCTTTTTCTCCATAAAAATACATCGCGATGCGGGAGAAGAGACAGGCCCTTATCAGATGCCTTTGTGGCCAGCTCTCCGCCTTCCCGGTGACATCAACCCCTCCTTCCTTCTCATCTCTGCAGTGGCCCGGTTCTCCCCACAAGCGGGTCTTTCAGGGGCTACAAAGCGTTTCTTTCAAGCACCATGGCTAATATGGTGACAGGACCGCTTCATTTCCAGAGGAAGTGCTGCCCCCGGCTGTGCCGGGCCTCTGGGCGTGAGCGAGTCCCCAGCGTGTGGCGCCGGGAAGCCCCCTGCGGGGACCACTCCTCACTCACTAGGCTTTGTCTTGGCCGCTACCTTCCTTTTCCAAAAGCCAGGAGTGAACTGTCCCGTCCCCGTGCGAGCAAAATCTCTCCAAACCCCAGGGGCTGGCCGGGATCCGGGGGACCCCCTCTCCTCCCCAGCGCGCACGGAGCCCACATCTGGAAGCCAGGCCCGGTCCGGCGGATCCAGCTCTCTCTCTCCGAGAGCGCGAACGACCGGCGAGCTCAAGAAGGAAAACGGCCTCTCCTGAAAATGCTTAAGCACTCTTCCTCCTCTCCACTGAAATCCGGAGAACTACCCATTCTGAACCAGAATAATTTAGTCTGACAACAGATTCTTCCTCTGTTCACAGCTGTCCCAGAGGGAGGAGCTGAAATCTGAACCTCTCGGCTGTGATTGGACCCTTCTTGCAAAAGGGAGGAAAAAAAAGGCCTCCCCACCACCGCGGGCTCAGTCCGCGAGGAGCCCGCGACCTGGCGGCGCCGTGCGCGCACCTGCCGGGGCCGCGATGCTGTAGGAC